CCTATTTCGAATTTTCAAATTTAATTTACAAAAAACCCATTTCGAATTTTTTTAAAAAATCATTTTCGATTTTTTTTTTCACAAAAAAATTAAATAAAAAACAACAACAAAATCAAAAAGGAAAAAATAAAAATTAATTATTAAAGGTGGCGTCTGCCAGGGCTGCCACAGCCACTGGACTGGCGCCTGGCAGGGCCGCCTCACCTAGTGGAGTGGCGTCTGCCCAGGACGCCAGTCTGGTGGTCTGGGCGTCTGGGCTGGACGCCACTCTGGTGGTCTGGGCGTCTAGCCTGGACGCCACTCTGGTGGTTCTGGCGTCCGGCTTGGACGTCCAGGCTACGGTGTGGGCGTCCACCCTAGGCGCCGGAGCCACTACGACGGTAAACCGTGAATTTTAACGGTGACTTACCTCGTTTTCCGTCGACGACGACGTACCTCCGGCGTCCCCCGCATCTCCGGCCTGCCATCCGGTCTCCCCCGGCGAGCCAGTACGGCTCCACATTCACCGAGATTATTTCAATTTTAGCAAAAGGGCATAATGGTCAAATCATAACATATTTGTGGGCTTTATATGGTAAATTGCGGGCGATGTTTAGCATTTCACTTGAATTAATGTTGGATACTTAGATGGCTAGGGGTGGCCATTGGACCCAACCCACTGGCTAATTGGTTGGGATCATTGGATTAAACTAGGCGAAATTGACCTTAATAACATCAACTATAGTGTAGGTGTAGTGAACAAAACCACCTATAAATAATAGCTAGAACAACATTAACTTTTGCAATGTCTGCAACGGGTGTCCTAAATGATATTGAAGATTTTATTGATAAGCATGCCTAGTGTTGTTCTGACAGTTAAAATTAACAATTTATGACACACACTGCACCAATTACAAAAGTTGATATTGTTCTAGTTACTATTCATAACTCATAGATGGTACTACTCATTGCACCCAAGGCATGTGTTGTCTTATGATTTTGATGATGACTCACCTAACTTATTTACATACTAATAAGTGTTTGATTGTTTAATTGTGTGATCAGAAGTGTTGACTAGAAGAATTGAGATGTCTTGCGAAGATATCTTGAGGAACAATAATGCACAAGATCGATAAAAGTAATCTAAAGATAAAGGTTCCCTCAAAAGAACTAGTGCTTTAGGTTGAAGCCTTGAGAAGAGAAGTTTCTTTGCAGGAACAACAACTTCGGAGTAGAAGCTTCACCAGGAACAACAACTTCGGAGTAGAAGCTTCACCAGGAACAACAACTTCGGAGTAGAAGCTTCACCAGGAGTTTCTTTGAAGGAACAAAGGTGTCTGAGTAGAATAGTAGATGCTTCATCTAATTAAGAAACATGAAGGCTAAAACATGTTTATATTCTAGGATTTATGTACGTATGAGAACTAAGGCCCTGTTCAATTCACCTTAAAAAAATATTTAGCTAAATAATTTCAGTTCATCAGTTAAAAAAAATTTGGTTTAGTAAAAATAAATTCAATTCAGTAAATTAATTTCAGTTCAGTAAAAATAATATCAATTCAGCAAAATTAATTTCAATTCAGTAAAAAAAAAAGTCAGTTCACTAAAAATCTTTTTAGTTCAATAAAAATAATTTAAGTTCAGTACAAATAATTTAAATTCAGTAAATAAGTTAAAGTAAACGGGGCCTAAGTCAATACCCTAAGGGCCTGTTTTATTCAGCTTAATTTCAGTTCAGTTCAGTTCAACTCCAATCAATTCAATTCAGTTCAGTTCCTAATTTCCTTCTCTCATAAATAATTTAGTTTAATTTAGTTTAGTTCAGCACAAATTAGTTCAATTCAGTCAATTTAACTAATTTCAATAAATCAGAACAGATTCTAAATGGCTATGTTGAATAAGTTTTAAAAATATTTTTATGAGTAGCTTATTTTTAGGAAAGCAGTTGTTTTTAATTCTTATCTATTTGAAAGCTAAAAGATTTTAATATTCTGAAAAACGTGTGGTTTGTTGCAAAAATAAAATCTAGTATATGCTTGCCTATTCTTGCGAACTATTCTCCTTTGCTTAGTGGGTATGGAGTAGTGTCATCAAGTTGAAGCAGCATATGACGTTTTTCTTGAGCTAAGTTAGGCCCCGTTCACTTCACTTAACTTATTTTACTAATTTGAACTTATTTTTACTGAATTGAAATTAAATTTACTTAATATTATTGTTTTAAGGTGGAGTGAATAGGGCCTTAGTCTTTAAATAGCAAATTAATTTAGCTGAAAAACCACCCTTGCTCAAGTATAATTTTATCTTTTAATTTATTTTCTTAATCGAGTTAAGAGTCTTATTCCACACTAGTGAAAAAGAGTGTTCTTATACTAGAGTTAATCTTTTCGAGTTGTAATTTGGGAATTAGGGAGGTTGAGTGAACTCTGTATTAGCTTTGAGTGTAGCTTAGAGAAGAGAAGAGCAATAGGTTTATGAACTTGTTGCTTGGGGCTTTAAAATCGTCGAGGAACTTGAAGTAATAGTCTTTAGTTTGTAGTAGCTAGGCCATTTCCCTATTCTAGTAAAGAGTCTTTAATTTCCTAAAATTTGTGATTGTAATTTTTCTTCTTGTTTAGGGCCAAAAAGTTTTTCATATATAATCTCTCTTGCATTTTTGAGTTTCTTAAATTCACCCCCTCTTGTAGTATTAATTGAAACAACAACATGATTAGTGAGTGGATATAAGATAAATGGGAGAGAATGTAAAAGATGAGTTTCTGTAAGGAGAAAGTAAATTAGTAAGAGAGAGAATATGAAAAAGTGTAATTAGTTTTTTTTTATTAAAAGGTGTAATTAGTGTTAGAAATTGTTATATACACCCGAGTGCAGTGTACCGTGCACCCATAGCTTAGTTTTTGTTCTTCCTTTCATGATTAAATGAGTAAAAATAATCATCAAAATGAGAATAACATATTCATAGGTACACCGAGCACTCGGGTGTATTTACAATCTCTCAATTAGTGTAGGGTTAAAGAGGTAAGATGATAAAAAAGGTATGTCATAAATACTATAAAGCAAAATGAGTAGATAAAAAAAAGGGTCTAAAAAGAAAAATAACTTTATGAAAAAATGAAGGGAATAAAGCTCTTATTAATTCTTTATTATTATTAGCTACTCCGTAATATCTATACTTAGTATTTAAAAAAGAAAACCAAAAAAGACATATGTCATCATTCTATTACACTTCCCTATCATTTCTTCAACTCAATATGCCACATGTCGTTTTATATTTTTTATTGTTCTAAACTCTTTCATTAAACACTTTATCTTCATCTCCCCTCTTTAATTCAACCTTCTTATTTTCTCTCTTTGATTTTAGTCCCTCCATCTTCTTTCTATTAAGTCTCATTTTAAATTAAAGTCCCAAAATTTTTATCTCTTTAATTATGTTTTCAGTTACATATTACACTCATAATTATTTATCAGTATTTCCTCACTCATCTCTCAATGCAATTTTGGCTAGTTGTTCAAAAATAAATTAGCTACTCCGTAATACTCATTTTTCCAAATTGGCTGAGCTTTATAGCAAGTCTTTGGACAAGGCTGCCACTGTCTTGGCTCTCAGCCTCTAATAGAAGAGGGCTAGCATATATATAGTAGTATTCCATTCTCAAGCCTTGAATGCAGAGCTCCAACCACTCGGGGTGGTGTGGCTAGGAGAAGCGACATCAAGACTCGGTTTAAGGGCTAACATAAAAAGAAGGAACATTAACTCCAAAACTCTGACGTTGACCGATATTAAAAAGGTTATTTTGAGTTTTATCACCTGCAAAAAACGAAAAATTTGTTTTTATCACCTCCATAAAAAAAAAATTATTTTACCACCACATAAAAAAATGAAAATTTGGCTTTACCACCAATCACTTTCAACTAACGAATTTCGTCTATAAATCTTTTAGTGGGGCCTACCATGTTTACGTGTCACCATATTATTGAGTTTTGTTTTTTTATTTCTTTAGGGTTTAAGGTGACACGTGGACAAAACCCAATAATATGGTGACATGTGGACATGGTATGCCCCACTAACAGAATCTGTTAGTTGACGGTCATTGTTGGTAAAAGTCAATTTTCATTTTTGTATGTGGTGGTAAAATAAAACTTTTTTTTTATGGAGGCGGTAAAAGCAATTAAATTTTTTTTGAAGGTGGTAAAAATAAAAAATTCCTATTGAAAACACCATTTTTTTTTTTTTTTTTTTTTTATTTTCTTCCCACATTTCTCTCCAATTTACTTTACCAAAAGGCGTTATCTTAACTGCTAGGAGCTGAATGCCAAAGGCGGGGCTTGCGTATTGCACAACTCTGCTTTCCTAAGTTCAGTCAATGAGGAGACTAGTAATCTAGTATACACATGTACATTTATTTGAACACACCTGTGCAGATTTGTTTCAAACCTATGTGTTACTCTCTCTGTCCCTAATATTTTTCCCCTTATTTTTTTTACAGTATCTTTTTATTTTCATACATGCAAATATTGTAAAATTAGATATTAATTAAATATATAGTCAGACGAATTCAATAAGATTTTATATGACTATATAATCTATTATAAATTCACGGTATTTTATGATCAAGGGTTTAAAAATTTGACCCAAATTTTTACAACGGGACAAAAAATAAAGAGATAGTGGAAGTATATACTTGGAGTCTTGGACTCAATACCAAACAGTGAAACTTGTTTCTAGAATACTTGACTAAAACAATCTTTACACTGGGACTCAAGAAATTCCAACGAATGAAACTTGTTTATCCAAGAAATTAAGCACGATAGATGCAGTGTAGTTGAATTTAAAACAATAAGTTCCGAATTTTATGTAAAATAATTAAATTATGGGACAATATATTCTTAAAATTGGATCCTCTGCAAAACGGATATGTATTAAAACTTGTTTAAACCTTGTTCTTGATACCAATTGATATGATTTTGCTAGTTTAGAGTATTGAGTTTCTAATCAAATTAGGTTGGATGAATAAGCATCTCACTTTATCTCAGAAGTTTTATCACAAAACTTTATTAATCTCTGTCACACACACACCAGTAAGCCCATGATATAGGCACATTAATCCCAGCTACATTAATTTGGATTCCTAATTGCGATAAAACACTTTTTTTTTGGTCACATGTAAAATCCTACTCTTAAGAATAAGCAAAACCATGCAACTTTCCTAAAATCTGTCATACTAAAATAAAATCCTATGTCCCTTATAAATGGGGCTCACATTTATTTAATTATTCTTAAAAAATTAAATTATATTTTTAAACAGATATTCTTAAAAATGGATTTTCAGCAACCCCTTGAATTGCTCTGTGCTTGTCCAAAAGCTCAAAAGAACAACGTCTAATTTTCTTGGGGAAAAGCTTCAATAATTGAAACAAAAGCAGGGATTGTGATGATGTTGTGCCGAGCAAAGCCAGCATCTTTTAAAAGTTTGTTCCATTCATGTTGCGTCCTCTCTTTGCCACCACAAATTGTCATCATCAATAAATCACACCCTAACTTTGTTTCTTCATAAGGCCCTTTTCCGTCCGGATATAGAACTATGTCCACAATAATCACCTTTCCTTTGCTTTTTGATACGGCCTTTTGGCAATTCTTCAAAATCTTAAGACAATCTTCGTCTTCCCAATCGTGTAAAACTGACTGCATTAATATTGTGACAAATAAAATAATTATTATGCAGGGTAAATAAAACTGAAAGGGGCAACAATTTCAAACTTAATTATCATCATTGGAAATTCAATTTCATCATTACAAATTCTTGTATGTGGCTGGCCACACGGTGTGGTTTGTCACTATATGGGTTAATTCGTCAGTATTATGGGGTTACTTGGCCAGTGCTACGGGGATTACTTCGTCAGTGTGTGTTACACACTTATACGGGATTACTTAGTCGGTGGGTGTTAAAGAAGTTATTCAATCAGTATTATAGGAGTTACTTAATCAATGTTATAACTATATAAGGGTTAATTTGTAATATTAAAAGTGGCCACATAGTGTGACCAACCGCACACAAGATGGACTGTTTCACCATATATATGCAAGCAGATAAATTAATTAAGTGTTTGAATTGTCTCTCTATGTATGTATATGTATGAATGTACCTTGATGAAGACGGTATCAGCATAGGGGATCTCCTTGAACATGTCGCCACCAACATGGGTGATATTAGGAAATACAGGGGCAGTTTCAACGACATGAGGAAGATCAAAATTGATCCCTTTAATATGTGGGTGAGCATCTACAATCTTAGCCACGGCTCGGCCAATACCACCACCAACATCCACTAGAGTTCCTTGAAGCTTACTAAACCCTTCCTTATACCCACACAAAATCGCATCCAAAATAGCCTTGGTAACCGAAGCCATTCCTGTATTGAAAAGCTTATTGAACTCGGTATCCTTGGACGCTTTCTCCCAAATACTTACACCATGAACTTTGTCAAACGCGATCCCACCTTCGTTGATAGAACGACCCATTTCTTGCCAAGGGGCCATCAATGACGGGTGGGTGAAAGTGAGAAACATAGGAGCAAGGCTGAATTCATAATCATGTAAAAGCCATCTAGATGTAGGAGTAAGACCATACAAAGCCTCTCTTTCATCTTTTGATGACGATGTTGTTTGATTATATTCAACGGTGAAGATTAAGTTCCACACTAAGAACTGCATAAGACGTGGAAGGCGCGATGCATCAGGAGATGTTGTTGTAGACTCTAGCTTTGAAGCTATTTGTGATAAACTCATTGCTTGGCCATGCGAGTGTATGATATCAGCTATGCGAAGCTCTACTGCCGATTTTATCGCAAGAGATTTGGCGAAACTAAACAGGTGGTTGAGTATTTGAGCTTGCCCTTGAAAGAGTTGGTGATCATCACCGTCCTCATTATTAAGAATGTGTGTGTTTAAGGTGCTCATTTTTTTTTTTCTTTTTCTTACTCTATTAGTCTTTGGGCTTTTCTATAGCTAGTAGATGTATTTAAAATTATGGACAAGTTCGAAGTTATTTATAGGACAATTCTGTTAACTAACAAGCTTGGACATTATATAGGAGTTCAAGACAAATCTATGTTCACAACCTATTAAATAGTGGGACCAGGTGTACAAGTAATATATATTCTTCATCAATTCATGTATAGTTACCCTGGCCAATATAACTAATATTTTCTCTAGGTTTTTTAATGCATCACTTTTAAATTTACGTACTCCTAGACAATATTTGAAGTATAAAGATATAAAGAGAAAAATTGAAGACCGTTCATGCAATATGAGAGAGAAAAAAATTTAAAATGAAAGTTGTATCTAAATTGATATTTCATTTATAGAAAAGAAAGACATCTCAAAAAAACACATAAAGTACTCCGTATGTGATAAGTAATTTCTCTCTTTAAAGTTCTATAAGGAATAAGGTACATGGTAAAATTAAATTTTAAAATTTAAAGGTTTTTTAAAAATTGTTGTTTAAATTATAGGAAAATTTGTAAATTACCACCCAAAAGAGGTCCTGTTTTGATATTATCACCCATTAAAAAATTTATTTTAAATTACCACCCATGAAATTTGAACAATTTTCAAATTACCACCTTTTTTGGATTTCCGATGGAAATTCCGTTTGAGGGTCCCACATAGCGGCTATAAACTGCTAATTTCACTATTTTGACTCTCTCTCTCCCCGATTTCTGTTGTTTAAAAATTGTACGACTTCAAGTCACAAATTTTGCCCCAAATATCATTCAAAATTCCTCAAATTTCAACTGCTATTGTGAGAAGAAGTTATCTACTGAATATCGTACACTCAATTTGCATCAAAGGTATGATTCCACTACTTCATAATTTAGGATTTTTTCCCCCCAATTTAGGAACTAGGATTCATGAGTCAAATAAATTAGGGGATTTTTGCAATTAGGCTATCTGTTTGCAATTAATTGTGCGATTTTGTTAGAATTCTGCTAATTGGAGTTGATGTTGTCCAAATTTGTTGAATGATTGTTTACTATGTTGAATAATTGTATCTCATGTGCTGTGTTTTGCGATTGAAAGAATTGAATGAATCATAGTTGCATGAAGTTGTAAGCTTGTTCTTTTTCTTTTTTTGTTTTTGGATTATGCATGTTTTATGGCAGTTATGGATGAGTCGCCATTAGCAATTGACAGGAGCTTCAACTATACGCTTCTGGTCCCTAGAGAACACTTCGAGATGGTGCAATCAACAGTACATGCAAGTACAACCAAATCATTCAATTTGCAGAAAAAAGTAGAGTTAGGGTTTTGATTCAATCCTAAATGGGTAGTTGAGAATTTGACAGAGAATTAAAGGAAGAAAGAGGGAAAAAATTGATGATTTTGGAAGAATTAAGTGAAGGAATTGAGGAGAGATGAAGTTTTTAGAGTTTAATGTAACAATCAGAATGCTAGGTCAAAGAAAAGAAGGAAAAAAAAGAGGGAAGTTAATAAGGTGGGGCCCACAATTGGAAATTCCATCGGAAAACATAAAAAGGTGGTAATCTGAATATTGTTTTTATTTAATGGTGGTTATTTAAAATAAAAGTTTTAATGGGTGGTAATTTCAAATTAAGACCCCTTTTTGGGTGGTAATTTACAAATTTTCTTAAATTTTAAAGAAATTGTTCCGTGTACCTCTTAAGTTTTTAAAAATGTTCCATGTGCCTCTAACAACTTTTAAATGCATGATGTATTGTTAATTTATATAAATTTGCACCAACTCCTAGACTCATAACAAATGTTAATTTTGTTAAATTGAAACCACCTAAGCATCAAATTCTATTAAATGATTACATTGTAATGCTACTATCATGCTAAACCATTTAATTATCAAGTAAGCTTAATAAATAAATCAAATTCTAACACCCAAAAGTTTAGGATTTAGAATGATTGATGGCGTTCAAATTTTAGTGTAATTTATGTTTTTAGGCATACAAACATAAAACACTTAAAGTGAGTCAGTGTATAGGCATGATTTTAGTTTGATAACTCAATCATATGTACATTTGTTAGAGATCAAGGTAATTGATACAAGTTTTTACAAACTTTAGGGATACCGAATACACAGTACATTTGAAAGTTGATACACCAAACAATTTTCCTAAATTTTGGGATACATGATGACTGAAGCCCATGTGATCAACATATTGCCTCGATCGATTTGATCGAATTTGGAAAAGTCAATTTTAAGATATGTGGCATTTAACTATAAGGTACATACTACATATCCAAAAATCAAAGTTGGAGACGTAGAATACAATATAACCTCTTGCACATATAGTCACCAGGGCCGGCCCGGAGGGGTAGGCTCGAGTGCGACCGTCTAGGGCCCACGCCAGAAAGGGGCCCAAAAATCCAAAAAAAAAAAATCAATTTGCATGGCTGTAGAATTTAAACTGTCTAAACTGTAGTTTTTACTCGTTAAAAAATAAGCTACTTTTAAAAAAGATAATAAATGCATTTAGTTAGCAATTAATATTAAATTACTTAGATGTCAATTAGGTGGAGATAATTATGCAATATAACCTCTTCTTCTAATCTTCCGATTTTATGAGTATCTGTTTCAAAATATTAATCTTTTCAATTACACCGTTTCATATTTATTCAATCACCAAAATATTACGCAAAGTTATTACTCCAGTATTGTGTATGGAGACTTATTATTCAAATAATTTAAGTTATTTTCATTGTCTTATATTTAAAGGTATTGCATGTAAAAGAATTTCTTTACGTAAGGGGCCCTTTTCTTACATTATGTATAGGGCCCATAAATTTCTAGGAACGGGGCTGATAGTCACCAGTGGGTCCATCGCCATTGTAGTTTGATTACAATGTTTCCTTATTCCAGCTTTGAACTGAAATTTATGCATGAGCAGCCATATATTAATTTGACGATTCAGAATACAGTACAAGTAAAGCAATAATACAACGATTTGTGCAAAAAATGCATTGAACCAGAACGCGAGCACCCATATTTGGCGTTGTCTAGACTTTTCTGAAAAAGAATTGTCCGATCTGGCGGCCTATTGTTACCTTCCCTCGAGCAAAAGGACATAATTTAGGCGATTCTTTGACAAGTAATAACTAAACATTTTTTTAAACATGTTAAGAATTGGAATATACGTTAAATCATCATCCATTAACTTTACTTGTCTTTTTCTTAATATTGGGCTGTTTTTATAGACCATTTATATTTGGAAAATTTGACAATTACCACCTACTATTGTTTTTATTTTAACAATTAGCACCTGCTATTATTTTTTTGTTAAAATTACCACCAACTTTTTTCTTAAATACCACTCTCAACCATCTTATGACTTCATGTGGGCCCCACATAATAGCTTCCCTCCCCCTTTTCCCTCTCATTTCTTATTTCTCACTCGATAATTCACGCCCAAGTTCAATTTTTTGCCGAATGAAATCAAAAAAGCAAACAATATTCAATCAATTATTTGGCTTGGAGAAGTGAATTGCAATGTTTTCGATTTCTTAATTTCAGCGAAAAATTGAATCTGGGAGTGAAGTATTGAGTGGGAAATAAGAAATGGGAGGAAAAAAGGGAGGGAAATTATTAAGTGGGGCCCACATAACATCATAAGATGGTTGAGAGCAACTAGGTGGGAACTTTTGGTGTTTAAGAAAAAAGTTGGTGGTAATTTAAAAAAAAAATAATAGTAGGTGGTAATGTTAAAATGGAAACAATAGTAGGTGGTAATTGTCAAATTTTCCTTTATATTTTGCTTAATATCTTTTTTCCATTCTGTAACTAATAGGGGTCAATCGGGTTTACGTGTTTGGGTTAAGTTTATCGGTTTTCGATTAATAACGGGTCGATTTTTAATTAGGTAAGAATTGTTATCGGTCCAGTTTTAAATCATTTGGGTCAGTTCGATTTGGTTTATTTTTATTACAGTTTCTTTTCGGGTTTGATTCTAATTAGGTCGGGTTATAATTGGTTGGGATCATAATCGGTTCAGGTTACATTCGATCGGTTTAAAAACGGGGTTTGCCAATTTAAAGCGGGTTTGGGTCAAAATATATCGGGTCCTAATCGGGTCTGGTTGTAATCGACTCAGGTCATAATCAGTTTGAGACTTAGAGTTGAACTCAGCTGGTTTGACATCTGGTTTTGCCAGTTTTAAACAGGGTTTCGTTAACCTATATCTTCTAGTATATCCTTATCATTCTTTAATTAGTTATTCCATTAGATCATACAAAGTATAATTAGTTGTTTAGCTTTAAGTCCCTTTTTGTATAATGATTTTCACTTTTTCAGATCAAATAATAATAACAAATCTAGAGTTAGTTTTTTATTCAGATTTTTAAAAATATAATATAATATTCTGTAGACACCAAAATGTGTCTCCCCAAAACAAAACTCAGTGATTATCGAATGAAGTGAAAGTGTGAAAAGTCTTGTGATGTGGTTATTTTTAAAATTCTTTCTTTCTGTTTATGAAAATATTTCTTTTTATACTCTATTTATGAAAATAGTCAGTTCGATTTATTTTGGTCCATGATAAGGGTCCAATAATAGTGTAGTTGGATCGGGCTCGTAAAGAGCTTTCCAACAATATATTATAGGCCCAATTCCGATGAATAATGATGAAGTTATGGCCAAAATACTAAATTGGGCCCGAAATGATTTTATATGCGGCCCAATAATCTAGTGGAGGGCCTATTAATTATTAATCCTAAAGTTATTAGGATTGACTTTAATGTTCTAGTATAATCTAGAAGGTTCTTTTGAATTCTAATGGAATTAGGATTGATAATTATGTTTTAAAACAGTTTTACTGGAATAAAATAAGTGTTTTATGATAAACCCGGTTCTAATTTGATAAACGTGGAATTTACTGCTTAATCATATTGAGAAGAGGATTCCGCATACAAAGCGCATTTTATTTCTGACTCAGCGCAAAGCGATAAGCTTGTTGCCGATGACAAAGTCTGTCGCCTAGCGCTGGTGCCTGTCGTCCGGCGCTAACTCATGTGTTGTTCGCAACAAAAGGTTTTTTTTTTTTATTTCGAATGGAACTTGATTTCTTTTCTATCGATTTTCGGACTGTTTTC